TGGAGAAAATAGGGGCCGAGAGTGGAGGGCGGCAAAGAGACAGAAGCAGGACACAGGGGGTCCTGAAGACCAGCAGGACGTTTATTCTCGGGTCCTACATCTCTTCTATAGTACTTACAGCGGTTATTTAAGGCGAATGCATAAACAGCAGGTGTTGTTTAATGTTTTCTTCTCTATGAATGCACTCTAATCTCTACAGAAACGGGCCGAGACACTTCTCAGGATGTTCCCATCCTTGAACCATTCCTTCAAGGGAACCAAGGCAAGACAAACAGGATTGCAGCTATGGGAAGTATGACAGGGGGCGTGATCTCTTCTTGGAGCCGAGTCAGCAGCACAAGCAAACTATCTGGGGAATGACCTCTCATCCCCTTCGGCCACAGCCTGCCGGGCCTGCAAGATGAGTAAGCTTGAATGCGTGACTTTACCAAGAGGCTCTTCCCTTAACTCCGTGTCAGATAAACACCATGGAATTATCACTGAGCAGAAATGCTGTGAGTGCAGTGAGAGTAAGGTTTCAGCAGGCAGACATTTCCCTCTTGTAATGAGAAAACTCCCAGAGGAGAAACAGCCTTTGAATGAAATGGAGATGAGAAAGTATTTTCCAGGAGGCTAAATTACACTGTGCATCAAGAAATACGTATAGGAAAGAGACCATAAGGTCAGTAAGCATGTGAGTGAATTTTGCAGTAAGCCAAGCTTACTATGTATCAGAAAAGAGATACTGGAGGAGAACTCCAGGAATGTAGTGAATGTGGGAAAGCCTTCAGCCACAGACCTCCCTCATCCTGCATCAGAGGATGTGCAGAGGGGAGAAGCCCTGTGAATGCAGTGAGTGTGGGAAGACCTCTGGCTGTAGATCAGGCCTCCCAGTACACCAGTGGACACGTATCAGGGAGAAGCCCTGTGAGTATGATGCATGTGGGAATATGTTCTGTGAGAGGTCAAATCTCTGTGAGCGTCAGAGGACTCAGGGGAGAAACCCTTCGAGTGTAAAGTATCCGAAGGCCTTTGATGATAGGTCGACTCTCATTGCACTAGTGAGTGCACACTAGGGAGAAACCTTATGTGTGTAAGGAGCGCAGGAAAACCTCCCAGAAGCAGAGCAGATAACGCACACAAGGAAGAAGCCCTACAGGTGTAACCAGTGTGAGAAATCCTTCTCTGTGAAATCAAGACTCAGAGAACACCAGAGAACTCGGGAGAAGCCCTTTGACTGTTCTGAGTGTGAGAAAACTTCCTACCACAAGCCCTCCCGCACAAAGCGTCAGAGAACCCACACTCGTGAGAGGCCTTAGGAGTATAAGGGATGTGGGAAGTCCTCACCCACACTCCGGGGAAACTCTTGGTTTCCCATGAAACCTTCAGTAGACATCAATGAGGCCTCATAGACGAAACCCCCACTGGTTTCCTGGAGACTGAGAAACATTTCCCTTCAAATTGGATGACCTAGGGTGGGCATGGGCCACCTAATAAATATGAGAAACCTTTGCCCAGATGTGACATTTTCTTGAACAGCAAATAACTGATATGTTTTTTTAGAAAATTGATATAGAAAACTTATTAATATCTTTAAGATTTTATGTTAATAACAAAAATTTAAATTATCTTTTTTTTTTTTTTTTTGGAACCACTGAGCTAAATCTCCAGCCCTAAAGTATCTTTTATGTTTTTGTGGTGTTTTGGTTTTTTTGGTACCGGGGATTGAACTCGGGACCTTGCGCTTGCAAGGCAGGCGCTGGAACCACTGAGCTAAATCCCTGGCCTGGGTATTTCTTAATCTATTCAAGTTGACACCACAGTTAACTATCCCAGCAGTATATGCACACTTTTTTCTACGCAATTTTATCTATAGTTCTGTGTAAGGTTCTCCGTCACCATTGAGAATAGATCCATCACCATAATGATTCTGAATGTTGCTCTTTTATAACCACACCTACCTCCATCTCTTTTAAACCTTCCTAACTTCTGGCAACTACACATCTCTTCAGCATTTCTAAAATCTTGTCACTTAAAAAATGTTACGTAAGTTGGGTGTGGTGGTGCATGCCTGTGATCCCAGCACTTGGGAGGCTGAGGCAGGAGGATCACTTCAAGTTCGAGGCCAGCCTATACTACACAGTATGTCCCTGTCTCAAAAAAAAAAAAAAAATTACATGAGCCAGGCACTGTGGTGGCACATGACCTTGTGATCCCAATACAGCCCTCCACTCTGGGAGGCTGAGGAGGCAGGATTGCAAGTTCAAGCCTACCCTGGGCAACTTAGCAAGACCTTGTCTCCCAAAAGGCCTTGGGATGTAGCTTATTATAAAGTCCCTAGGCTCAATCCCCAGTACGCACCCCCAAATTATATTACTTTTCTGTTGCTATGACCAAATACCTGACATATACAGTTTAAAAGAGAAAAAGGTTTATTTTGGTTCATGGTTTCAAGAGGTTTTTGCCTGAGTCACCTGGCTCTATAAGGCAGAGACATCATGGCAGAAGAGTGTGTGGCAGAGAACACAGCTTACTTCATGGTGGCTGGGGAGCAGGGAGCAGAAGAGGAGCCAGAAAGAAAGGGATCAGGGACCAGATACAGTAGTCCTGAAGGCCTGTTGGGAGCAACGCTACATAATTCTAGGGATAAATCATTTGGTTAGCCTAGTTCTCTTGCCTACAGCCCAGCTACAGAATAACTCCAGTTTGGCCTCGGGTCACAACTGAGACTTCAGTGATCCAGTGATGCTGTGATTCTCCCGGACAAGAAACATCCTGGGAGAACAAACATCTGCTCAGTTCCTCATTGTTCTTGGACTGATTAACATCTTGTTTGCCAGAGATGTACTGAACTCTCTGCAAGCTTTCTGTTACACCTTGTTTATCCCAATGTGAACTATTGAACTCTCTGCAAGTCATTTGTTACATTTGTTTCTCCCGATGTACTGAATAAAAGGTGTGGTAAGCTGGGGGCTTTTGTCTTTGCTGCCCAGAGCAGCACTGATCAGACCCAAAGCTCAGCTTCTTCTCGGTCTCATTTTTCTACCTTTCCTGTAATTCGCCGTGTGCTGCCGTGGCTCGCAGGAGACCAGGACTCACTGCAGAGGTTCTGGTAACGTCCCCTTCCCCTGTCCCCTACAAAGGCCACATCTCATGACTCACAGACACCAGCACAAGTGTATCATACTAATCTAGGCATCTATCAACCAAGTGAGTTGGTAAGATTAACTGTCACATTATATGAATGAAGTCCTATGAGACGTAGGACATAATTATTTGGAGTTTCATTTAACCACATTTTTGAGTGAGTGAAAGGATAAAAAGTAAAATCAGAAAAGGCAATGGACACATGGGGCAGAGTTCAGAGGAAAACAGGGACAAGCTTATGGGAGTCCTTACCTGGTGAAATTGCACAGAATGCTCCACCTGCTTCCAGCATCAACTGTGACAACACACAGGAAGTGTTGTCTAGAGACTGCAAAGTGCCCTACAAGCAAGCACTGACATTGAGGATTCACAGGAGGAGGTCAGCATGGGCCTTGTTATTTTCAGAAACATTTGAGGCACATCAAGCATTCATAGGGAGTTGTGGGAATACACTTCCAAATTCCCAGGGACCAGCCTGAGGGCAGCCTTGTAAACAGGCCTTTTGAAGGATGCTAGCCTCAAGCTTGCTCTGCTAACCTGTTTTGCACACCTACTGCTCAAACTGGTGGGGGATTTATTCCTGTGTTGGATTTCTTTTTTTTATTTTGGTACCAGGGATGGAACTCAGGACCTTGCACTTGCAAGGCAGGCGCAGTGGCACTGAGCTAAATCTTGGCCTTCCTTGGATTCCTGTCAATGCTTTCCTTACATTTGACATGATCATATGGTTTTCTTCATTAACCTGTTGGAATGGTGGGTTGTACAATGGCTTTCCTGGCCATGATGTATAACTCTTTTATACATTATTGAATTTGGTTGGTGAAAATTTGTTTCATTTTTTTGGTGTGTAAGTTAATTAGAGTTATTTGTAGGGGTCAGCCCATGAGTTTTCTCCTGACTGGAGGATGAATAACAAAAAGACACAGAATTAATTTAGAATAAGGCGACCAGAGGGCTCTCTGCCTCTAGTGCCCAGGAGCTTGGCTCAACTAGCTTTTTTTTTTTTTGTACTGGGGATTGAACTCAGGACCTTGCGCTTGTGAGGCAGGTGCGGTGCCACTGAACTGAATCCCTGGCCCTCATCGAGCTTTTATTCACTTAGACATGGGAGCAAGCAATCAGGGTAATAGAAGATTCATCTACTTCCTGTTATCCATAACATATATCCAGGTAAACAACCAAATCTCTGCTATATAGACTCTTCTCTAGGACTTGTAACATGCTAGGATGTCTACGTGTTGGCAAAGGAAGCACAGCCTGTTGCTTTTTTCCTGTATATTCCCAGAGAAGGTCAATTAAGCTTTGATTCTCATTATCTGGTCTCCTACATTTCCCCCTTTCTATTTTGGTATTAGCAGCAGTTGGGCCTATTTCATATGTTATTTGGTTCCTCTGTTTCTTAAATCTTGCATCTTTCAAACGACTAGTGATGTTGAACATTTTTTCATATAATTATTTGCTGTTTCTACTTCATCTGTGAAGTGTCTATTCATTTCAGATGCCCATTTTTGGACTGGGTCTTTAAATTTTGGGGGTCTGATTTTTTGAGTTCCTTATATATACTAGATAGTAGTCCTTTGTCTGAGGAACAGCTGGCAAAAAATTTTTCCCACACTGTGGGTTGTTTCTTCACTCTTTTGGTGGTTTCTCTTGCTGTGCAAAAGTTTTTTAATAAAACGAGATTGCAGGGCTGGGGATGTATTTCAGTGGTGCCACCACCTGCCTTATAAGTGCAAGGTCCTGAGTTCCATCCCCGGTACAAAAAAAAAGATGAGATCCCTGTTGTTGATTCTTTGTAATAGTTCCTGTGCAACTGAGGTTTTGTTCATGAGTTTTAGTGTGTGGTGAAAGATATGAGTCTAGTTTCAATCTTCAGCATATGGAAAGCCAGTTTTTCCAGCACCATTTATTCATTTATTTTTTTGGTACCGGGGATCAAACTCAGGTCCTTGTGCTTGCACAGCAGGCAGTGAGACCATTGAACTAAATCCCCAGCCCTCCAGCACCATTTATTAAAGAGGCTGTCTTCCAGTGAAGGTGTTTGTCTCCTTTGTCAAAGATAAGGTGGCTGAGTATGTCTGGAGTTTTTCTGTATCTCCTAACCTGTTTCATTGATCCTCAGGTCTGTTTTTTGCCAGTACCATGCTGTTTGTTTGTTTTTTTCTGGTACTGGGAATCAAACTCAGGACCTTGCATTTGCCAGGCAGGTGCAGTGCAACTGAGCTAAATCCCTGGCCTTATCTTGCTGTTTTTATCACAGTAGCTTTGTGGTATAATTTCAAGTCAGGGATTGTGATGCTACCTGCCTTGCCTTTGTTGCCTAGAATTATATTTGCTATTCTAGGTCTCTTCTGGTTCCAAATGAATTTTAGGATTTTTTTTTCTAATTCTGTGAGATATGCTGTGAGATATGTTGGAATTTTGATCAGAATTGCATTAAATCTGTATAACAATTTTGGAAGTATGGCCATTTTCACTATATTAGTTCTTCCTACCCAAGAACAAGAGGGATTGAACTCAGGGATTGAACTTGTGCTTGTGAAGCAGGTGTGGTGCCACTGAGCTAAATCCCTGGCTCTTTCCCTTTTCTGATATCCTCTTCAATCTCCTTTTTCAGCATGCTGTAGTTTTCAATGTAGAGGTCTTTTACTTCCTTTGGTAGATTGATTCCTAGGTATTTCATTTTTTTGGATGCTATCATGAAAGCTGTTGTTTCCTTAATTTCTCTCGTAGTGAGTTTGTTATTCATGTACAGGAAGGCTATTAATTTTTGAGTGTTGACTTTATATCTAGCTATGCTACTTAATTTTTTTATGCTACTTAATTTGATTATTAAATCTGGAGATCTTTGGGTGGAGTTTTTGGGTTCTTCTATGTAGAGTATCATGTCATCTGCCCATAATGATAACTTAACTTCTTCCTTTCCTATCCTTATTCCTTTTATTTCTTTTTCTTGTCTAAGTGCTCTGCCTTGTGTTTCCAGAACTATATTGAATAAGAGTGGTGACAGTGGATGTCCTTGTATTGTTCCTGATTTTAGAGTGAAAGCTTTCAGTTTCTGTCCATTTAGTATGATGTTGGCTGTTGATTTGTCATGAATGGCTTTTATCAGATTGAGATAAAGACCATCTATTCCAATTTTCTGTAGGTTTTTTTTAAAATCATGAATGGATGTTGGACCTTGTCAAATGCTTTTTCTGCATCTATTGAAATGATCGTGTGGTTTTTGTCCTTAGATCTGTTAATATAATGTATTACATTTATTGATTTGAATATTTTTAACCATCCCTGCATCCCTGGCATGAATCCTACTTGGTCATGATGTATAATCTTTATGATTTTCTGCATTCTGTTTCCCAGTATCTTATTGAGGATTTTTGCATCTGTGTTCATTAGGGAGATTGGCCTGTAGTTCTCTTTTTTGGTTGGATCCTTCTCTGGTTTTGGTGTCAGGATAATGCTTGCTTCTAGGAATGAATACGGGAGTATCACCTCCCTTTCAATTTCTTTCTTTTCTTTTTTGTACCAAAGATTGAACTCAGGACCTTGCACTTATGAGGCAGGCAGCGGAATAACTGAGCCAAATCCTTTCAATTTCATTAAAGACTTTGAGAAGTAGCAGCATTAGATCTTCTCTAAATTTCTTGTAGAATTCAGCAGTGAATTCATCAGGGTCTGGGCTTTTCTTTGCTGGTAGGTTTTTAATTACATCTTCAGTTTCATTGGCTGATATTGGTATATTTAGAATTTTTATATCTTCCTGATTCAGTATTGGTCATTCATATGTATCTAGGAATCTGTCCATTTCTTCTGTGTCTTTCATCTTATTTGAATACAGGTTCTTGAAGTAGGTATTGATGATCTTCTGGATTTCTGTAAGACCTGTTTTGATTTCACCCTTTTCATTCCTAATTTCATGGATTTGACTCTTTGCTTTTTTTTTTGATAAGGTTGGCTAAAGGTTTGCCAATTTTATTTAATCTTTCAAAGAACCAGCTCTTCAATTCATTGATTCGTCTTTTTTTTTGGTTTCCATTGCATTACTTTCTGCACTAATTTTTATAATTTCCTCCCTTGTATGAGCTTTTGGCTTGACTTGCTCTTTTTTCTAGAAGCTTGAGGTTCAACATTTTTTTTTTTTTTTTGGAACCGGGGATTGAATGCGGATCCTTGTGCTTGCAAGACAGGTGGCAAAACCACTGAGCTAAATCCCTGGCCCAACATTAGATGGTTTATTTGAGCCCACTCTGTTTTGCTGATATGGGTATTCACTGCTATAAATTTCTCTCCTAGGATTGCTTTCATTGTATCCCATAAGTGCTGGTATGTTGTATTGGCATCATCTTTTAATTATAGAAACTGTCTAATTTCTTCTTTAACTTCATCTGAGACCCATTGGTTGTTCAAGACATATTCTGATTTTATACCTAAATATAGTTCATGACTTTGATGGTACTATACATAGTATTTTAACTTTTAAATGTTTGATGCCAATATACTGAGCTTATATTCTTTGACTTTACTAACTCATTTTTTACTTTAAAAATTATCAATACTTTTTTTTTTTTTTTTTAGACAGGCTCTTGTTATGTAGTTCAGGCTGACCTTGAACTATGTAGTCCTGGCTGGCCTCAGACTCATGGGGATCCTCCTGCCTTAGCCTCCCAAGTGCTGGGCTTATAGGTATGCACCACCGTGCCTGGCCAAAATTATCATATACTTCTTATATTTTCTGTATAGACAAAAATATCACAACAAATAGATTGTTTTCTTTCAAATTTTGCATTCCTTTTCTACCTATTGCCTTAGTGCACTGGCTGGGACATTGGGTACAGTGTTGACAAGCAACGAGTATGCGTCTTTGCCTTATCCCCTATTTTAGGAGGAAAGTGCTCTTATTTCATTATTTAGCATGGTGTCACATGTAAGTTCTTCCATAAATACTCTGTGTTAGATTGACAAAGTTTCCTTTAATTCCTAGTCAACTGAGAGTTTTATCATGCATGGGTGGTATTTTCTCAAATTTCTCTTACATCTTTTTTTTTGTACCGGGAATCAAAACTCAGGGCCTCACGTTTGCCAGGGAGGCACTGTGCTGCTGAGCTACATCCCTGGCCAATACTGTAGCTTATATATAATAATATGAAATATAATATAGTTCATATAGTAATATGAAACGCTAAAATACTTTTTCTTTTGGCAGTACTGAACTACACACCCAACCCTTTTTAAAGTTTTGAGACCGTCTCAGTAAGTTGCTCAGGCTGGGGTTGAACTTGCCATCCTCCTGCTTTAGTCTCAGAGTTCTGGGATTACAGGCATGTGTTACCGCACTCAATGAACACTGCTTTTTGAATGCTAATGCTACTGTGCATTTCTAGAATAAACCTTATTTCATCATGATGTAATGCTATTATAGATTGCCATTTTCAAAACAAGTTTCCACATCTGTGTTCATGAAATTCTGATCTGATGTTTTTGGTACCGGGGATCAAACTCAGGACCTTGCACTTGAGGGGCAGGCGGCAGAACCACTGAGCTAAATCCCCGGCCCTGATTTTTTTCTTTTGATGTACTTTCTGGCTTTGGGAATTGTGTTACGTTGGTCTCATCAACTGGGAAGTGATTATTCTGGTTAGATTTTGTGTAGAATCATATTTCCCTTACATGTTTGATAGAATTTGTGCCATCTAGGCCTGGACGTTTCTTTGTGAAATTTCATCAGCTACAAATTCAACTTATTGGGGCCGAGTTCTCTCTTCTCTTGTATATGTGCATTTGCCATAAAGTTGGTAACATTCCTTTATTACCCTTTTAACATCTGTAGGGTTTGTAGTGATGTTTCTTCTTTCATTTCTGATATGGAGACTTTTAATCAATATTTTCAGACAAGATCAGGTGCATTCACCTGGAATGAATGGTAAGGTATGGCCGTAGACTTATCAATCTTTTTAAAGAGCCAGGTTTTGATTCCATTGAATTTTCTTTATTGTTTGTACATTTGCAATATGATTTTTAGTTCCTGTCTTTTATCATCCCCATCTCTGCCTGCTTTGTGCTAAATGTGCTTTTGTTTGTTTGTTTTTTTGGTATCAGGGATTGAACTTGGGACCTTGTGCTTGCAAGGTAGGTGGTGGAACCGCTGTGCTAAATCTCCAGCTGAAATCTGTCTTATCTAAAATAAGCATATGCAGGCAGCATAAACTATGTCTGCTTCTGTTCTGATAGCTGCCCTTCCATCTTTAATTTTTTTTTGGTACTGGGGATTGAACTCAGGTCCTTGCACTTGTGCAGCAGGTGGTGAAACCACTGAGCTAAATCCCCAGCCCATTAATTTTTTTTTTTTTTAGGAGTCCTGCCAATGCCCAGGCTCCAGTGGTCCTCCTGCCTACTCCTCCAGAGTAGCTGGGACTACAGATGTGCACCACCCCAGCTTCTATCTTCCATCTCTCATTTTCTGAGATTTCACTTGCTAGTGATCTTTCTCTTGATCTTTCTTGCTATGGTTTTATGAACTTAAGAATATTTTTGTAGCATTTCAATGCTGTCTTGAGAAATCAGACATGTTTAACAAAAATACACTGGCTACCACTTTCTCTGCTTTAGTTTTCTAAGCCTCAACAAAGTTTCTGCAGCCTCTGGTAATCAGCCTCCACATGCTCCCTACACTGGGGAGAAACAGTTCTGCCTGGAACTTAGCTCTCAGAATCACCCTTCAGTGCCAGCTGTACTCTGGTACATACTTTGGGCATGTTGCTTTGGACCTTACTTTGCTTTCAGCCTGGAGGTACCCCAATAAGCTGGCTGCATTCAGGAAAAATAACGATGTTCCTGAGGGGCTACCTGGGGCAGGTGTGTGTCTGTTCAAGACTTCTGTTAAAACAGTGTATGGGGTCCACTAGAGGAGTAACTCTTCTCCAGCTCCTTATTGTGTGGCCACAAACTGTACATTTTGGCATTAAACACAGGAAATTTTCACATCCATTGTATCTCCAACGTTTATCCCTCCCAACATAAAATGGATGTAATATATAATCAGAGTTTAAGGGAGGCTACTTGGGACTCAAAGGAGATATAAAAAACACAAGGCACATCATCTGAAGAGAAACAAGAGTTCCAATTTTGCACAGAATATGAACAAAGGAAAACATGCCCAGCCTGGATAAATATAAAGTTCTTGCAGTTAAAAATGCTGAGTGGATATGTAGTTCTAGTAACACTGGCTGAACTGAAATGTAGACATTTTACTCTACCCACATGAAGGACCAGAACACCCTACCCGATGTGCAGCATAGCCAAGTGCTTGGTGTTTTGAATGAATGAATGACTTTTCAGTGAGGGCACATATCTGGTACCGGGGATCAATCTGACTGACCCTTTATCTTTCTCCTTTGAGGAACAGAAAGGCAAGAGATACATTAGAAACACAGAAGTCCTCACAGCACTAGAGACCTGGCCCGGCCGCGTTACGGGTCTGGGTCCTTCCTGTGCACACGCTGGTGGATGTGCAGGTTGGAGCTCTGGCTGAAGCCCCTGCCACACTTGCTGCACTCATAGGGCTTCTCCCCGGTGTGCACACGCTGGTGGATGAGGAGCTTGGAGCTCTGGCTGAAGCCCTTGCCGCACTTGCCACAGTGGTAGGGCTTCTCCCCTGTGTGCACCCGGAAGTGGATGCGGAGGTCCGAGCTCTGGCTGAAGCCCTTGCCGCACTCGTAGCACTGGTAGGGCTTTTCGCCAGTATGGATGCACCGGTGGATGTGCAGGTTGGAGCTCTGGCTGAAGCCCTTTCCACACTCCCCGCATTTGTAGGGCCTCTCCCCGGTGTGCACTCGCTGGTGGATGTGCAGGTTGGAGCGCTGGCTGAAGCTCATGCCGCACTCCTCACACTCATAGGGCTTCTCCCCGGTGTGCACACGCTGGTGGATGTGCAGCTTGGAGCTCTGGCTGAAGCCCTTGCCACACTTGTCACACTTGTATGGCTTCTCCCCTGTGTGGACCGAGTGGTGAATGAGCAGGCTGGAGCTCCTGGTGAAGCCCTTGCCGCATTTGTCACACTTGTAGGGCTTCTCATCAGTGTGGATGGCTTGGTGGACAAGCAGGCTGGAGCTCCTGGTGAAACCCTTGCCACACTGTGTACACATGTAGGGCTTCTCTGTGTGGCTCCTCTGGTGTAGCAGGAACTCTGACTTCTGACTGAAGTCTTTTTTGCACTGGTCACATCTGTGCAGCTTTTCTGCAGTGTGGGTGTTTGTGCCGGGACAAGCATCTGGGCTGGTGTGCAGCATCTTCCCATGTTCAGCACAGTGACAAGGCTTCTGGTCTGTGTGAGCTCTCTGGTGGCTGTAGCTGACCAACTGTGACCTCCACCTTGAAATGTCTTTTCGGTTACAGACAAAGGGATCTGAAGATTCTTTCACCAGGCCACTCTGGCAAGTGGCTTCACCACCAACCAGTGGTGACACTGGCTCTGTTCTATCAGATGCAAGTTTAACTTGCAGGTTTTCAGAACCCAGGGCCATGGGAGGGCTCTCTCTCCTCACAACCCACCTCTTGGTGCTCTCTTCAGGTGGAAAAAGACCTCTGGTCTCCTGAGGGTCTTGGGGCTCATTCTTACACAGTTTCCTAGGGGAGTCTTGTGTGGCCATCTGGGACTGTTAAAGACAGGTAGTTTTCACTTTCAATGTTTGTAAAGTCACTGAAGAATCACCACACCATTCTTGTTTCTGGAAAATGACAAGATGCTTCTTTCCACTTCTGGCAGGGATCTAGCTCTTTCCCTGAGGAGTCACAATACAGACCCTACTCCCAGGTGCTAACTGGCCACTTCCTCTGAAATCAGGTGCAGGAAGCTTATGTATGTGACAGGTCCCAGAGTCCTTTGTTCCAAACACTCTCCACAGAATTCTCTTTCAAGTCTCCTAGGAAACAAACAAAGCTCAGTGATAAGAACAAAGGGTGGATTTTAATATTTCATAACAGAAAATTTGACTTGTCCTTACAGTCATGTCATCTGTGTTAATGTTACAAAGAGAGGAAGACCCGGGTTTGAAGACCTGGGTTCAAAGACACATGATCCCACTCTGCTTTTAACCACAGCCAGTGAAATATTCCTTTCCTAACCCTGACAAGGCTATGAATCCTATAACTTTTCATTCTAGTTCATTCTACTTTGATTAAACTTCCACTTAATTGGTATTCTACTTTATTAGGTATTGGGGATACAAGGAAAAAACCCCAGTGGCAGAGCACTCTACCTAGCATGTACAAAGCCCCGGGCTTGCTCCCTAACAACACCATGCCACCCTGCTGCCCCACACCACATACCACACACATGCGTGTGCATAATAGTGGTGTGAAGAATGCCCTGGAGGGGAAGCAGAGCCAGAGCAAAGGGCTTTATGTCTAGCACTGGGACCTATGGTTAACCCTTGCAGGGACTGAAACTATTAAAGGATTATAGACACCACTGGAAAGTTAAGATTTTAGGTAGAGTTGGCTACGATAGCAATTTGGAAGAAAAACAGTGAGAGTGATGGCTGTGGAGAGAAAAGAGTAGATTCTAAATCATGTAGTGAGAAACTAAGCCTAGAAGCCAAGGGAAAAGAGGCTCTGAGTGCACTCCCTGCTGGAGTGAGGGACTGGGTGCCATATAATCCGACAGGAAATGAATGAGGAAAAGGTTGGGGTTGGGAGGCAGACAAGTCTGACATTAATCTGAGGTGCTGGCTGGGGATTTAGCTCAGTGGTGCCACGCCTGCCTTGCAAGTGCAAGGTCCTGAGTTTGATCCCTGGTACTAGGGAAAAAAAAAAATCTGAGGTGCTGGCAAGGTGTGCTTAGCCCTGTCCAGCTGGAGCCCCGAGAGAACTGCCTTGCATGTTGGTTAAAATGATTCATGTGAATTATCCTACTATACTAAAACTGATAGAGAAGTGCTATATAATAAGATAGGGCTTGCCTCCATTTTTTTTCCCACAGAATGTTTTGCTTTGGAAATATAAGTTTGTGTTGCTGCCCAATGTATCAAAATGGTTTGTGACTGTTTGAATTGTGTGACTTTTCAGGACTGTTCTGTTAAACTCTGCTCTCTCACAAGAAGGTCCTGTTAAAATCTGCCCCTCTCAGGAATGCTCTGTAACTCTTCCCCTCTGCTTCATTGAGCATGCTTGCCTATCCTGTAGATCCTTACATAAGGAGGCTCTCATTTCTGGTAGGGAGCTCTGACTCCTCTGAGCCCGCCGGGGCCTCACTGGTGTAATAGTTTTTTTCCACCTCTTCAACTGACCATCGGATTCTTGAGTCTTCAAATGACAAGAGGCTGTGTTCCAGAGCTGCCACACTGAGCTGTAAAGCTCAGCTGTGGCTCAGAGCTGTGGCATTAGACTGCAACGCTGAATTGTAACTCTCAGCTGTGCCTCTGAGCTGTGGCACTTAGCTGTGACACTGAGCTATAACAGTTGGCTATAGCACTGAGCTGCTCTGCTCTGCCACAACAAAATGACAAAAAAGAAATCCCCAACAGTCTTGGGGAAAGAAAGGTTGCCACCAGCAGCAGAAATGTTGAGGACTCCTACATGGCAAAGCCAGATGGATTAAGAATGTCGAAAAAGCCAGAGAAAATATGCACAGTTTAAACCACACACAAGAAAGAGTGTTAGAGATTCTCTCAAGAAGGCTCATAAATTCAAATTGCAAATTCAGGATCAACAATGTGCACGCCTCCAGGCAGCCTCTGACCTGCACACTGTGACAAGGCAGAGGGCCTGGCCCTGGGACTGAGTACAGAGAGGCGACCTTCAGCAGTGTCTTCACTGGCCACCCACGGGATTCTGAGCCACTCCCCTGGGCCCCAGTTACAGAGGTATCCCCTAAAGTAACACACACACACCGAAGGCATCAGGGACCGACTGAGGATACCCAATCCCACATTGACCTAGGAATGCAGACTTTTGGAGAAACTCCAAGGTGACAATTTAAAAATATGTAAATGGAGGGTCAGGGATTTAGCTCAGTGGTTCACAAGCACAAGGTTCTGAGTTCAATCCCCCCCCCAAAAAATATGTAAGTGGAAAAAAAAAAGGAGGGGAACTAATGAGGCATAATTTCAAGAAATAAAGAAGAAATATAATTTTAAGGGTACATAATTAAAATCCTAGAGAAAGTGGAGAGAATAATGCATTTAAATAAAATCTAATAAAATATCAACACACTGCTACCAAAATAATCATAATTCTTCTAAACTAATAAAGTGATTGAAATGATCTAAACTGCTATTATGTGGATCCCAAGTGATAGTGCTATAGAATGCTGAGGGCTCATCTGTTCCTAAGGCAGCAAGGCCGACAGGACTGTCAGGCCTCCTTGTCCAGGACTGCAACCCAGACCAGGAGGAGAGTAAAACGGAAACAGTGACTCAGCCCAGGGATTCCCCAGAACACGGCCTTAAAAGATAGACATGGAAAGATGGAAGACAAAGGCCCATTTCCTAGGAGAATGTTAGAACAGTAAAGGTCAAGCATGAGAGAATGATCAAGGAAATAATAAAAAACCAAGTGTTTCCCAGAACTCAAGACTTAGGGCCCACTGAGTGCTAAACCCGATGTGTGAAAAGATCCATAAGTAAGCATACCCTTGTAAGGTGTGTACACTACAAGAAAAACAAAAAACCCAACTACTCCTCTCCCATAAAACCCTACAAGCATTCCCACAGGAAGCCAGATTATGTACAATTAAATGTGAATTACAGAGACACTGAACTCTTAGGTGGCAGTACTGGAGACCTAATGATAAACAATGTTATCTGCAAATTTTAGAGGCAAAGTGATTGTGAAATTAGAATTCTATATCTAGTCAATCAACTATTTCAATGGGAGGAAAAAAAATACATGCTTTTTCAGACAATAAAGGATTCAATTGCTGAAACAATCACTCAGAAATGAACTGTAGCAATTTTTTAAATTAGAAAGATGCATGATTTAAGAAATATAAGTAAGCAAATATTTCAATAAAATACCTAGTTAGGTTCAATCAATTATTTATACATAAAAAAATAACCAAAACTCCACAATATTAGTATGGAAAGAAAATCCCACCGAATAAGATATACTTTAAAAAGTGTCAGCTGTTGTACCAGACACCTTCATCTGGTATTAGCAAGCTATAGTGGCACAAGCTTCTGGGCCCTCTCTAATTCGGCTGTGTTACATTGGAAGTAGTCTGATCAGCTAAGTTCACATCCAGCCAAGTTCACATCCAGCCAAGGTCAACTCCACTTTAGCTAAATTCTTCCCCTCTGAATTAACTGTTTGTTCTCTTCAGCAAAGATGTGTTTGTGCCCTCATTCTACAGTGCTGCCTGCTTGATACTTGTTATCACCAGGTGTCCCAAGGCCTGCTCAGTTTCCCCCCTTCCCACACTTGTGATGAATAAAACACTGGATGTCCTTTGTCTTTGCTGCCCAGAGCAGCTTAGATCAGCCCAAAACTCAGTTTCTTTCAAGTCTCTGTCTCTGTGTTTAATTCCTGCTCTCCCATCTTGTGGACGTTGTACTGGCTTGGAGGAGGCCAGGACCACTGCAGGGGTCTCTGGCAACTCCCATTACCCTTTCCCCATAAGCTTTGGGATAGGGGATTCTAATCACAGTATACTACTTTCTGGCAACCCACTGTTATATCATGAAAGTAACATTGGCATTAATTACTGAAGGCATGGACACAGGTTCTTGGGAGGATGGTCACATTAGAACAGGTAATATTAAAACGCTGTATTTTCATCTATGATATGAAGAAGTCAACAGAAAATATCAAGTCCTGCTAAAATTAGAAATGGTAGTACATCACAATACCATATATTCAGATTTAACTGATACTGTGGGAGCATTTTCCACCTTTTATAGTACATGAAAACAACTGATGACAGGATGCTGGTGAGCAGAAGGATGGCCACGCTGCCAGCACCTGGCAGAGTTGCTCAGGTGTGCATGTGGAGTCTCAGTGGAGGTGACCGTCTCCAGGCCGGCAGGGCTGTGGTGTCTGAGTGAGGTTGTGCACTGTGACAGCTTGCAGGACCACAGGAGTTAGGGGTGTGATTTTCACAGTGTACCTTTCCACACTTTTGAAAACCAGGTGTTATAGTTTAGATCTAAAGTGGCCTCCAAAGTCTGATCTTTAAAAGCTCATTAGATAGAGGACGTCACACAGCTGGCTTGCTTCTGGGAGGCGAGGTCAGGTTAGAGGAGACAGTCACTGTAGGCATCAGTGTGGGCATGGCCTTGAAGGGTGTATCTCCCTCCTCAGCGCTTCCTTGATTCTCTCTGCTTCCTGTCCTCCATGCACCTGTGCCATTATGTTCTGCCTGAGAACCAACTAACATTGAGCCAAAATAAACCTCTCCTCCCTTAAGCTTTGGGCATTGGGTATTGTGTCTCCAACACAAACAGTAACAAAGATACCATGTGAATGCACTTTGTGTGTGTGTGTGTGTGTGTGTGTGTGTGAGAGAGAGAGAGAGAGAGAGAGAGAGAGAGAGAAAGAGAGAAACAGCTGTATAAGCACTTCGTTTAGAATGAAAAATAGGATCACAACTGAGCACCTTTAGAAGCCTTGCTGTGGCCCCAGGGGCAGCAGAGCAGGGAGTGTTGTTTTGTTAGAAGCCTTTCCATGCAATATGTTTACCTGGGTGCATGCGTCCTGTGTTTACAAATTTTAAAATAAGGGGAAGAAAAAACAAAAACAGAAAAAACAACAACAAAAAGAAAAACCAAAACAAACAATGAAAAAGGAAAAAGAAAAACTGGGGCTGAGGATTTAGCTCAGTGGTTTCATCGCTTACTGCACAAGCACAAGGACCTGAGTTTGATCCCTGGTACCAAAAAAAAAAAAAAAAAGAAAAAGAAAAACTGCAGTTTGGAACAGTTAAATT